GAATAAGTTTATTTGATGAAGTAACCAAGTGAAAAAATAAAAATATCTCTCTTAACCGATTAGCAATCTTGACTATAAAAACCCCATAATCTTCACAACACCAAAAGCTTGCTGACTATGATTTGTTGAAAATTTTAGAACAAGATTTCAGGTAAAATAATGTTTAGGATATCTCTCACCTACTTTCTTTCTCTATATTGTAAACGATAAATAGTAGAGTGCTTGTTGGAATTATCGCATCTTTACAGTTTATTAAAATGAAAGGTTTTTGTTCGAAGCTATAAAATTTTTTAAACTCAAATGCATATTAGTTATTTACTTTTATATGATTTAGGTTGAGTGGCAACTACGGAAACATGAGTGGCGGTATACAAAGTGAAGCCATGGAGGATTTGACTGGTGGGCTCTGCGAGAGCATTGATTTAGAGCCAAAAAAACGACCCAAAGATCTGCCAGAGCTACTTATCAGCTACACCTATCGCTGCTGTTTGATGGGCGTTTCTGCAGAAGTAAATGCAAATGAAGATAAAAACTTTTTTAAGGATAAAGCACAACTATATTCTAAGTCTATTTCTTAGTTCATATTTTTTATAGTCTGGTTATGCTGATAATGTAAGAATATGTTTTGATTGGCAGGCACTGAAACCGAAAGCTATGATTGAATATGCTAAAGGAAAGACCCACCTTAGTGAAACAGATACCCAAATCAAATTAACATAACTTATCTAGAATATAAAGGTATATAATACAATTATATAATTTATATGCATCTAGCAACAAAGAATTCGTAATAGCAAAAAAATATCAAGCTGCAGGTAAAAGTCAGCCATTCATTGTACGCTTGGCACATCATTTGTATTAGATTGTAGCAGCAAACCTCCATCCTTGGCATACGACGTATGATCAAGGCACTATTAATACAGTTGTTTTGTCGAAAGAAAAGGTGATTTTCTCATCGAGCATGGTGTTCCTGAATTAATCTTCTATTTACGATGGCATAAATTAATTATTTTGGCACATTTGGCTATCCAGGGAGAATATCGCAGAATACCTACATTTAATTAGGACTCTAAGCCAGAAGATTAATGGCATGCTTGACTAAAAACCGCTTGGTCTAGATATGAAGAGCCACTGATTTTTGATTAACTTCTAAAAACAGCATTTCTGAGGAGAATTTCATATCGTAGAAAAGTGAATGATGAATAACTTCATTGTTTAATCTCACCGGAAGACGAAGGTAGGCTTTTGGCCTGAATACGGATTTCACGATGACGCAGTCCACATGACAACTTCCCTCGTTTTGAGTGCAAACGGGCCAAGCTTTGTCAGTCAGTCTAGGGTCATTAAAATTCAAAGACCGATCGGAAAATATGACTGGGATTGGGTAATCTCGTATGCCTGGTTTGATGGATGATCTTTTTCTATATGCACTTTTATACGAAATTAATTTAACTCCAGCAACACTTGGTTTAGAGCCAACAATGTTGCTGCTTTTTTATTTCATCAGAAGCACCTACAAGAATTTTTAATAGTGTTTTTGACGCCATGCTATGACTCAAAGGTGACCTTATGCAGGCCAGTATGATCATTTGGGAGAATATAAAAAATAAAAAATAATGATAAGTTAATTTTCACCAAAAATTAAGTCCATGAATGATCATATACCAAACCATTAGACACACCTTAGATTCCCAGGTCTATCACTCCAGTCAGTCGTATTAGATTCCTGTAATAACTGAGATGTGGGTTACAAGATTTCCTTCTATTTTCTGCAGGAATTTATCTTATTTTTGAGCCGCTGCAATACTTAGAAAAATACTCCCCCAAAACAGCCATTTGCTGTATTACCTTCTTCTCCATTCACGAGATCTCTATTCCTCAGATCGTTAGCTTGGCGTTTTTATTTATGCTGGTAGATAAATGAGGTAATCGTGAATAAATGCCCGATAGCCTTCCGTACTTTTACGGAAATACGACCTTATAAGCGACCTTAAACAATATAGCTGCCACTAACCACATCCTTGCACCTATTTTCGGTTCTACTACTCATTAAATCACAAAATCGAGCGCCATAACTTTACTTTCATTACTTTTACTATATTTTCTACTTATATTAAATACTTAATTTGCTTTTTACATATCATTCCTATCTCCCAATTTCCATTTAAGTCGGATACAATCGAGGCTAAAATGGAATATGGACTGATTGGCGGCCACGCCTATAGCGTGATCGGAGCAAAAGAGGTTTGTTTACTCTTCCTGAATCCGACTCTACTTGCTATTTAGAAGTATTAGAAGTTTGGAAAAACCATGTATGCTGTAGGTAAAAGTATAAATTTCATCGGATAAATGCACATAGTCTTGTGATTATACACCTTCTACAAAGCCAGTAAAACTACCTAATTGGTCGTTAATACTTACCTCTGAAGCTATTCGTGGTTATAAGATTGGTGGGAAGATCGGAGCGTGAGCCATGGGCGCTCTGCCAAAGAACCACTAAGAATAATCAGCTTTTATCATACTATATTTTAATTACCATTCAGAAGCCTTATGGGATAAAGGGTATATTTAGACGATGAAGTCAAAGAGGTTCACGCAAGTTTAAAGATGTCGAACTCATCCATAAAGGGTCGCTGAATTGACTTACAGCTTTAAGTTGCAAAGTTAATTGTACCCAAACTATACTATTATTAATAATAACAGAGCTGGAATTTTGCAGGTTATATGGAAGAAAACCATGTTTAGAAGAATTCGGTTACCCTCTCGAATCATTTCTATAATGTGAATAATATGGTGTAGCATTTAGTCACTTCCAAATTTAGAGAACCACATGTCATTTTAATATTTAATAAAGTCCTTGTTTGGGATTCTGTGTTACTAACATGAGGGCACATTTATAATGAAGAGGTTTCTTATTCAAAATATACTTGCAGCATCCAAAGTCTACTCACTATAATTATAAGTTATATAATTGACTGCAATAGAAAATACAAATTTATTTTGATGACACTCACTTTACAAATGACAT